ATGGTGGAAGTAGAGCATAGGCCAGGAACAGCCAGGAACAGGTATTTACCAGGATCAGAGCCCAGAAGATAAAGAATAAACAAAGTCATGTGGCCTGAGTACAAAACTTCATTTGCTTCTAGAGTTGGAGAATGACAATTAATTCTGCAATTGATCCCTGAGGGGATAAGTTAAACCTTAATACATAAGCTGACTCCTCAACTTTACACAAAATTTTACACAATCATAGCACGATTGGCAAACCTTGTGATCTTAAGAGCAGAGTGTAAAATTCCAATCAGGCTCTAAGGGATGGTGCTTGAGACCACATACTCCCAGATGGTTTTTGCACCCCAAATCTGAAATGATCTCTCCAAACAGACATGGCACAGACATCTACCATCATTTTTTGAACTCTTAGGTACAATTTTTCTGCACAGTCCACGAAGTGGTGGTGCTCAGCCTGATGAAGTGGAATCTTCTCCAAGAAAGTTTGCAATTAGTTTGATTTTTTTTAAAAAAATTGGGTAAATAAATGGTATCACCCACTCTTACATTAGTGTAATCTTAAAGACCATACCCTAATTTTCTCAAATTTACACTTCTCCATTTTGGAACTTTATTTGAAATGCAGATCTTGCAATTTCACCATCTAGCCAAAATGATTTGGAGACCTTTCTATTTCTTCCACCCGCAGCTTTGCAGTGGTAAGTACCCAAAGAAGACTCGTACAGGATTCTAAAGCTCACCATTTTAGAATATTTTACGGTCCTAACACTCTTTTCAGAAAATGGATGTGGTGGGAGGCAATTATTTTACTAAGCCAGACAACAGTTGAGAAAGCAGATCTGCTCAAAATTCCTTTAGGCTTCCTTGTCCTGTAATTAAACAGGAACCGCAGCATCAATAATTATCCATTATCCATTATCATTTCCACATTTTGCATAGACCATTTTGCTTGCAGTTTTAGTTCCTTCAGTTTTGCATCCCTCTCCCCATTACCAAGCACATCTGTTATTTTACTTTAGAACAATCTCTGTTTCCAGTATTCAGACAAAACTAGAAATTGTAGTTTATTACAAAAGTGAACACAGCCTTTATATTTTGTCCACTATAGGGGTGGAAAAGAAGGAGGAGGACATGTCTAGCCTGAGACTTGGCCACCTTTTGATCATATACTTCAAATAAACTATAGCATTCAACATTGTCTGCAGCATTTTGATTGAAATGTTATGGTTTCCTGGATTCTCGACCTTAGTTTACCTTTGAAAATGCAAAATAAAATAATCACCTTATTGGAATAAAAAGTGTATTGTTCCTTTTGGCAGCTTAAGAAAACAAACACCAGATAAGCTTTACTTAGCATCATCTTTGCGCTAAACATTGATGCAATTTCTTCAAAAAGGCAAATTAGGTCACAACATGAATGCAAGCTTGTTTCTATGGTCTACTTTATGACAAACCTAAAGGTGTGAATGGGACCAAACCTCCACATCCAGAGCTGGGCATGCTGCATATGTTTTGTTAATTACTAAATGAAAACGTGCAACTGCAAGTTTTATGGTGAGTAGGAAAGTATTCATTTTAAAGCAGGTACTTTCTTCTGTGTTTTCACAGCTGACAAAAACTACACAGTTTTATTCCAATAAGGTTATTTTAACCAGTTAAACCTACTCTCATTAACTCCAGTTTGCTGGAGACTGACAATACTCCCTTCTCTAGCCAACACTTAATTATGATTTACTGTTATCTGAATCAGAATAACTATGTTCACCTTATGGCTCATCCTTAAAGCAGACCAGTATTATGGTTATGGTGGCTCAAACATCACAACAAAATGCTAATTAGGAAAGGAAAGAGAGAATTTGTAGAAAGAGGAATTAGGTAAAATATATTGCCCACTTTGTTGTGGCACTTGGACTTGTATGAAGTGAATCAAGCATAAATCGCTACTTTAAAAAAAATCATAATTTGAACTACAGATTCAAATAGTAACTCATTTTATTCTCACAAATAAGAAAGAAACATTTCAAATGTTTCCCTACCACTGGGAGACTATGAGTGGTTTTGTTTATTTTTCACGTTTTGGGTTTTTAAAAACTTTTTTTGCAAAAATTAATGAAAGTAGGTCTTGTACAAAACCCTTTTATTTTTTTCACCAACCCCCCTCCGCATTTTGCAGAAAACACCTATGTTTTATAAAAAAGAGATTTCATTTAAAAGCATTTTGCCCGAAAAACCCAAACCTTTTCACTACAATGATACTACTGATGGAAAAAAAAGTACTGATCTTTTTAGTCTTATATAGGAGTAAAAAAAAATATCACAGTAGTTGGCACTTTCTTTGATGGGGTCTCTTGATCTTTCAAAGCAACCGTCTTCATCAAGAGTTAGAAAACTGACTAGTATTTCACTATACCAGAATTCAGACAGAGTTCTGACCCCTGTCCTCTGAAGATGCCGGCCACAGAAACTGGTGAAACGTTAGGAAGAAAAACCTCCAGAACATGGCCAAACAGCCTGAAAAACCTACAACAACCATTGGATCCCGGCCGTGAAAGCCTTCGAGAATACATTGACTAGTATTTATTACATTTTTTTTTCAAACACTAGGACTGAAGCATTCATAACTTCATGTAAGATGAAGTTATGGAAAGTTCAACTCTCTTATGCTGCAACACCAGATAGTTTGGATTTGCTTATGAAACAGAGGGAACAAGTCATCCCAACTGGCTTTTGTTCAGAGATACAGCTATTATGCATACTGGTGATTTAATGCATTCTGCTAAGAACAAGCAGAAAACAAACTTCAAAAGTACTGTTTATTCTATCATACTTTCATTTCATTTGATCTTGGCTTAATATTTTAATGGCTGCATATTTTTGGAATTAAAATTCCAACTCATTCATGTATGGTCACAAAACATTTTCATATTTCTCATTACCATAGTCTCCAAGAACTGTGTGGCTAGATTTCCCTATGTAATGTGTTCTTGAAAATAACATTTAAAAAGGAGATAGGAGGATTTACTAATGTGATATTAAACATGTCCAGGACTTTGCACTGAACTGGAAATAGTGTCCATACATTACTTTGGAAATATAGATTCCAAAGACTACTGTAGTTTCTTTCTTCTAAATATTACCGTGATGCTGCATGATTCATGCAAGGATCAATCTCAGGCTATAAGAATTCACCAAAGTTTACAAATGGATTGACTGACTGACTGACTGACTGATTTTTATCCTGGCTTTCCCTTTAAATAGAACCCAAGGCGTTGACTGACTGACTGACTGTTTGATTGATTTTTATCCTGGCTTTCCCTTTAAAAAGAACCCAAGGCAAATACTTCTATCTTATTGGTAGGTAACAGATTACATAAAGGGGGGCAACTAAGCACGAACAAGGCAAAACCTCCAAGAATGGACAGTTTCAGCAGTGATGTCTTCAAAGTCTGTAAGTATATAGGTAAAGGTTCCCCTTCACATTTAGTCCAGTCGTGTCCAATTCTAGGGCACGGTGCTCATCCCCGTCTCCAAGCCACAGAACCAGTGTTTGTCTGTAGACAGTTTCCATGGTTACGTGGCCAGCAAAACTAGACACGGAACACATTACCTTCCCACCCTGGTGGTACCTATTTATCTACTCGCATTTGCATGGTTTTTAACTGCTAGGTTGGCAGGAGCTGGGACAAGTGACGGGAGCTCACTCCATCGTGTGCATTTGACCTTATGATTGCTGGTCTTCTGACCTTACAGCACAGAGACTTCTGCGGTTTAACCCGCAGGGCCACCACATCTCTCTCATGAGTATATATGATATCAAAATTTCAAATAGTATTCCAGAATACTCTAGCACTGGCCACCATTGCAGAAACCTGGAGAATGGGCTTGATAAAGCAGCTAATGCCAAACCATCTTACAAAGCTATTACACTGATCCAGGACAGCCACATATGCTGCTTACCTATCATATGGCTAAATACCCTTTAAAGCTTGTGAATATATACTGATACCACAATTAAAACTAATATTCCACAGTATTCTAGCACTAACCACTATTGCAGAAGCCTGGAGAATTCTTTGTCTTCAATGAAGTTTATATTTCAGTGCTGTCAATTCCTTTACTGTTATTTTTAAATGAAAATTAAATTTCATATAACTGTGTTAAGAGCATCCCTAAGGAATTTCAGGGAGATATCCATCAGATCAACTAAGCCATTTTACTACAGCTAGCTACTTAAATGAAAATTAAATTTCATATAACTGTGTTAAAAGCATCCCTAAGGAATTTCAGATCAACTAAGCCATTTTACTATAGCTAGCTACTTAAAATGGGTATCAGCAGTAATGAGAAAAAATAATAAGAAGAAAAAGTAAATTAAATTAAATTAATTAAATTAAAATGGGTATAAGCAGTAATGAGAAAAAATAACATCATTTGCATGCGATTCTGGCTGCACTTCTCAAAAGGACTGCTGGTGGCATGAAAATTTCTAGGCTTTAAACTTTAATGCTGGGCAGCAGTCTGAGAATGGAGATCTCTGGAATTGCCTTCCTACATACCAGTATGCACCCAAACATTGCTCTGTTTACACAGCCATTATTTCTGCTACCAGACATTTTGATGGGTTGGTATGAAATTTTGGGGTTATGGCACCCAGATTATAAAATGACTTCCCCAAAGAGTTATATACTGTATCTTATTTGTTAACTGCCCATTTTTAAAGGAGTTTTTAAAATAGTCCTGTTACAGGGGTATTATTGGGCTTAGGTCTCTAACAGTGTTCATCTAGGGTTGTCCATGCAGATATTTAGTCAATGCTTACTTTCAAGGTAGTACTCACACAATTCCAGTCTTAATCTGTTTTATGTTATAGCTGCCTTAGTATTGCTTTAAAAGCTATCTTTCCAGTCTTTTGTTTTCTTATTTTGATTGCTGTGTTAATTAAATTTGTACGGTCATAATGTAGAAGAGTATATATTAGGTAAATAACTATTTTTAAAAAGACAGACACTTACTCTAGAGCCTTTTTCAAGGAAGCACTGACAACTTGAGCAGTCTTGTCCACCACAGCGCCCCATATAGGCATATTCACCCTAAGAAGAAAGAAATATTGGTTTTCTTGATGATGGTGGTGGTGATGGTGATGAGGATGATTTCTGCTGGCAATGTTGGCCTTAGAATTTTGAGAGCCTTGGGCAAGACAATAATTTGGACTCCCTTAAAGATATAAAAACATCAAATCAGGCACTACATTTCACTTAACTGCACTATCACACAGTGAAAATTCCTTTCCTCTCCCATTACAATCCACTGAATCTCCCAACAGCTGGTACTTGGTGTTTTTCCTGCCCTCTAGAGTAGGATTTTGGGGTACACAGGCAGCTACTGTGGGAAGAAACAATAGTCCCTCCTGAATGTATTATACTCACCTGTTCCACTAACAGAAGCCCAGCACTAGATGCTATCCAGTCAAAACACAGAGAAGGATAAATGCATTCTAACAAAATCATTGTAGACAATGTTTGATACAACCAGAGGTTATTAATTAATGTACTATATTAACATATCATTGTAAGTACAGGAATACAAATTAACAACAAGACAAATGCCATTTCTTCCATATGTGATCACTTCATGGAAATTGAAACGGGGAAAAATCACCTCAAAAATCATACTATATGGCAATGATAGGAGAGACATAGGTGACCTGGTGATAACTGATAAATAACACTTTAGTGGTTATAATTTAAGAGGCAATTCTATAGTGATCTATTTTTAAGACATCTTAATCATTTTAATTACATCTCTAACAGCCAAACCTTCCCTAATTTCATGTTCATCTCAAAACAATACAGCCCAGGGAAGGTCAACTGTGGCCCTTCAAATGTTTTTGATTTACAACTCCTAGCCATATGACCAATGGTAAAGGACACAGCTAGCCACCCCCCTTTTAAGGGTTCCTATGGCACAGAGGATCACAGAAAATGTGTAACTAGTTTCACCTTTGAAAACTGTGACTTACCAGATGCAGCAGTTACATGCACAGTGGAATAATACAAAGTAGCACAACATAAACTGAGGTAAATGTCTTGTGTACTGAACTTATGAATAAACTTAAAGGTACCAAGCTATAAATTTTTCTTGAATCTGATTATTCTGATTTCTCTTGAACTGATCTCTTCCCTGAGGTGAGAAGGTACAAGCTGTACTTGGACAATGATCTGTCAGTATGTTCCACAAAGTAGTTAGGACATATCTGAAATACCTCCACAAACCTTACAAGCAGTTCTGGAGGATATAACTCTCTCCTGTTGTGGCTCCTCCATAGCTATATTTGTGATGGGCAGGAGGGCAATGGCTTTCTTATGAATGTCTTCCAAAAACCAGGGAATATCTCTCTTTCTACTCGAGAATTTAATATGCAATATTTCATCTGTTTCTTTAAACTATATCTGGATACATATTTTTTTTGTTTTTGAGTATTTTAAATATTCTGTTTTTCCTATTCTGTTTTTATTTTCTGCTCTTTTTGTGTTTTAATGATTACTGTTTTTCTGTTGTAAACTACCTTGCATTCTCAGTTAGGAAAAATAGTATAGGTATTTTTATAATACAGTGAAACTTGTAATTTGTGTAAGCAATTAACTAAGGCTGGTTTAACAGCCTATTATAACTTATCCTTATCTTAGCATTAAGCTAATAACTCAAGTCTCCCTGAAGTTCATGCTGAAATCACTTATGTATTTACATCTGTGTTGTTACAAAGTAAATGGCTATTCAATTGCAGCCTCTCGTATAATTCAAAAATCAATCACAGGCTCCCACAGCTGAACCTTCAGCATGGTATTTTTCATGAGAATGGCCTTTGACTTCAATCATTATTGATACTACTGACACTTGTCCAAATGATTAATTGATATGGCCTGGGAAACAATTCTAGAATTGACACTTTAGTTTTAAAAACACGGGATTCCTCTCAAAAAAGAGTATTTGACAATTAATAAAACAAAATGTAGATAATGTGATCATTAATAGGCGTATTTAGAGGAAGATTCCATTGGTTTGGTGATGGACGTCATAATCCCCAACCCAAGTGTGAGGGAATGCCCACGCCACTCCTGTCAATCATAGCTGAAGCTCAAGTGCAGGAGCCTATGAGAGGACAGGAGGGGCGGGGTCAGTTAGGCAGTTAGAAGGAGGGAGAGTTGAAGTTAGAGGGAGAAAAGGAAAAAGAGAAAATGAGAGTGTGGAGGAGAGAAATTGAATAGTTAAGATAGATAGATAGAAAACTTGAGAGAACTGATATTATTAATAAGTTGGTTAAAGTGGGTACATCAATAAAACAAATGAAGAATTGAACATGTAATCAAAGATAAAAAGTTTTAATGAGTGATTCTATACAATAATTAAAAAGAACATCTGTGATTCAAATTCAATATAAATAAACACGTTATGTTGGCAGCAAGTGCCTGATTCAAGTACTGTGCAAGTGTGGATAAAGAATATTCACTGGTGGCAGTGAATGAAAGAGAAAACATTGCCAGAGTGAACCTTGGTTTGGGGGAAACAAACAGGGAACACTGGGTGGAATGTCACACCGGGTAATCAGAACAGTTCCAACAGAACCTCAAGAAAATATTAGGATATCACTTGATATTAGAATTTTGGGAGCTATAAAATATTTTGAGTTTAACTTTTACTCCACTCACAATGGCTTATTAGAAAGGGAGAATAATTTTTCATCTTCAGTGCCTGAAAGATACATGTAGGTTGTCTCACTTTAAACAAAGGTGAACACAAAATTCAGAACTAGATTGCCAATAACTCTTTTTGACAGGAATCCTGTTGTCTTTAACAAGTTCACAATGAAAGAAATGCCAACCATGAAGCTTCTCTCTTCATTGCATCTTCTAGAAAGAAAAAGTGGCATCTGCTTAATTTGTTTTTCTGACTCAGCTGTTAAAAGGTACAGGAGATCTGCCAGAAGAAGCAACAGCAGATAACTTTCCTTCCCACACAAATTCCCAGATTCTTAATTGAGTTTCTGTAAAATGTGAAACTGCTACTTTCAGCATGATAATCATCAGCATCCATTGCACTATACAGATGGTGATACAATCCCATATTGATATTGGCTTTAACCTATAAACCATAAACAGCTTGGGCCCATGCTATTTGAAGGACTGCATCTCCCTTTATGAGCCTACTCGAGTGTTAAGATCATCAGGAGAGGCCTTTTTCTTCATCCCGCCACCTTCACAGGCATGTTCGGTGGGGACATGGAAGAGGGCCTTCTTTGTTGCTACTTCCTGACTTTCGGGCTCCTTTCTACAGAAGACTAGACTGGCCCCATCTTTGCTGTCCTTCTGCAAGCAGGCAAAAACCTTTCTCTTCAGGCAAACTTTCCCTGAGTAACTGCCTGCCGAGTGGGGTTTTCTTATGGATTGCTGTACAGTGGGGTCTTGACTTAAGAACAGCTCGAGTTAAGAACATTTTGACTTAAGAACCACTCTCACAGGAAAATAATGACTTGACGTACATACTTAGATTTGAGTTAAGAACTAAAAAAAACCACGTGGGAGGCAGGGAAAGTGCAAAATTTGAACTTTCAGTTAACTGTTGACCAGTGAAAAGGGTGCCTGTCTGCTTCCTCACTCCACCCAGCGTTTAGAGAGTGGATTGGGAGACAGTCTTCAGACTGCCTGGTACTGCCTGGACTGTATTTTCCCTGCCTTCCCTGAACCTTTCTTGACCTAAGAAAACAAGAAACAAAATATCCCCCTCTAGTGGTCGAAGGCAGAATAGCAGCTTCCCATTAGTTTCTACGGACGGAAAAGAGCAGATACGGATCAAATGGTTTTCAATGCATTCCTATGGGAAATGCAGATTTGACCTGAGAACTTTTTGACTGGAGAACCGCCTTCCAATACGGATTAAGTTCTCAAGTCAAGACCCCACTGTACTTCATTGCATTGAGTATATTTTGGTATTGCTTATGTTTTTAGTATTTAATCTATTTTTGTATTTGTATACTTACTGGTGATTAAAATTTTTCTTTAATGATGTAAGTCAACTTGGGCCCTTTTTAAGGAGAAAGATGGGGTGGGTAAATAAATAAATATTTGAGCCCCATTGCTGTCTGCATGTTTTTAAGGAGACAGCAGTGGTTCAAGCATATAGTTATTGTATGTTGCATACATCCAGTGAGTAAAGTACTGGCACTTTGCTGGGTTATTTACAGTAGATCAGCAAGGACTGATTAGCTAGTTGGCTAAAAATAGCACCAAGGAAATGTCACCTTTGTCCAAATTGTATTCCTGAAATTAAGAAAATTGGAGATAACGAGGGGTGGGCTTTGGTGTGGTAGAACTGAACAAATTTGGAACTCTAAATTCCTTTCATTCTAGTTGCATGTCTTTTGCAAAGTCAGTCCTGTAATCTGACCATTTCTGCTATAGACCACATTGTGTGGATGAATCAATCCACACTTAACTTCTTTTTATGGAAAATAATTATATTTTACTTAATATAATGCATACTAACTTTGCAAAGAAGTCTAGAAAGCAAAATTTACTAATCCACCACATCATTAATACAGCAAAAGCAGAGATGGGCCTCAGTGACATATAAGTAAAAATTTAATATGCTGCTTCAACTTGAATTTTCTTAGTGTCTCTTGAATTTTTAAAAATATATCATTCATATTTTAGTTTCCCATCAGAAGCCATGTTTACAGTTCTGTGATCAAATGAACTAATTCACATTCCCCCTTATCTAAAATGTTGTCAAAACATTTTCTGTTCTTGACCTTCCGCATACATGCAGAGAGAAGCCAAATAGTATTATTTAGCTTTTTTTCTTTCTTCCATCCTCTCCTCTTATGCCCATTTGTTGTACTGTGAGATAGGGAATGTGTTTGTACTTCATCTTTATCTCTTCTCTTTTTTTAATAATCATGGTTCTCCACCAATTATTTTATTTTATTTTAAAAACCATGGCTGAAATCTGTCACTTAGCTTCCCATACTTCTGGAAGCATAATCAAATAGGCCTACTGAATCAATAGAACTTATGAAGGGGTTGAACTTAAAAATCTCTATTGATCCAATAGGCCTACTCTAGTTGTGACTTACTATACCAAGCAACAAGATTTCTGCCATAGCTTCTTTTACATTTTAGGGAATACTTGCTTTTTAAGTTTCTAGTTTTGTATTAAAGATCAAAACAGTAAAAAACAAGCTTAACAGCATGACTGGTCAGCATTTCTCATAAAATAGCTTGCAAGTTTTCAAAGCACTGCTCTTTGTTTAAAGCAACAGTTTTCGTACTACATTCTGGTGAACCACCAGAAAGGATTCCTTGAAGCATATTAGGAGTTCCTCAGTGGTAAACCAGGCACCCCCCCCCAAAAAAAAGCCAATTTGCTTGGTGTCCTCTTTGTGGTGCAGCAGCTGTTTTGGGGAGCAAGTACGTGCACCTACCATCTCCTTTGTGTTGAAGTAAGCTTCCTGCAGGCCTTCCAGGACATTACATATGCTCTGCACACAACCACCTTGTAAAGCCTTAGCTTACAGCAACTATCTTTACAACTCTTGAAGAGCTTACTGCAAGCCTTAGCACAGCAGCCATAGGGTAGCTACCATGGACAGCACTGTATAAGCCCCTGTCCTTGCTCACTTCATAGCAGGCAGCTACCATTTTCCTGGCTAACAGTGTTGTGCACTTGTTGAATCCTGAATTGGGGGAAACTAATTCGGTGTCACTGTTAACACAAATGTGTTCTAAGCTAACCCCACCAAAAATGCCAGCAAGTAAGCAGAAGCAGTCCAATGCCCAGTAAACCAGGCAACCAT